CGCTCGAGCGCACCCACCGGAACCACGAGTATAAAACACTATCCCGATGGGAGCCGTTGCACGACTGAGATCTCGACAAAGCCTCAGGGAGAGTGCTCGCACTCACCCCAAGGCTCGGGGGCTACTGTCGGATACCATAAAAAGGGGTACCCTAAGCAAGAACCGAAAAGATCGCTTAAACCTCTCAAATATCAAAGTCAAAGGACAACCGCGAGGCCTCGGCTGATTCCCCGATTTGCCCCACCGAGGCCCTCTCGCCGAGGCCCTCTCGTCGAGGCCCTCTCGCCGAGGCCCTCTCGTCGAGGTCGTCCCTCTGGCAGGCTGTCTCGTCCATTTAATGCACCTGAATGCACCCGCTACGTCAGCCACGATCGGCAGGGTACAGCAACAGGAGCGATGGGACAACGGTCAAATCTCCTTTTTACCATCCCTTACTGATGGTGCAGGGGTTACCATGCCCTGCGGACACACGCCCTGCACTTTTCCACCTAAACCGGGTACGACGCTGATCACCGAGGCCCCCGCATCATACTCAGGTCACCTCCCGAGCCTCGGTAAATCAGGCCTCGGCGCGGTCAGCCACAAACACCTGCCAGGCCTCGGCGCACCACCAAGTCAAAAATTCACAAGGCACGGCATGTCACCTACAGCGGAGGCCATGCTGACTAAACGTCAACGATGACTCCTATGACTTCAACAGCCTCGGGCATGGCCGGCATGACGCACCAGTGATCAAGTACCGATTGTCATTCCCGACACTGTGCTGCTACAGGAATAGGCCACAGTACTAGATCTTCCTTCCTCGCTAAGGCTCCACGTGTAGCTCTTTCATGTACTCCTGGCTCCCTCCTTGCGGCTATAAAAGGAAGCAGCGAGGGCCGTTTCTATGGATCGAGACCATGCCGGCCCTCACGCGCAAACGCACTCACTCAATTCACGCACGCTCCCCTGCTGCCTGAGAGCAACGTCTCAAGCAGCCCGCACCACTTCACGCCGAGACCTGGGACTAGCTCCCTCTCTCACCCAGCTTGTAACCCCCTACTACAAGCACTTCGGTGCAAGGAATACAAGATCGACCTCTCAGACTGGACGTAGGGCACCGATTGGCTGAACCAGTGTAAACCTTGTGTCTCTTTGCATCACCATCCGGGATTAGGGGCACGCAGTTCACATTCACTAGTTGGTTGATGACCCCCCGATCCGAAACACCGACACTAGGTACTAGGGAAGTGTTTAATAAAGAAAACAATTTGATCTCTAATGGTTAGAGTTCTGAAAATTCTCTGCAACCAATATGTAAGTTTTTTAACAGATATATTTAGAGAGGATGCATCTTATGACATCATATGAAATTTTAGTACTCTCGCATTAACAGATGGAATTTTAGTACTGCAAGATGGAAATTCAAAGTAGCTGATCGCCAGCCAGGTGTTTCCGCCAGAGAAGCGATGCATCATATGATTCATGTAGAAGGAAAAATGAAGATAAGTTCAGACTTTTTGATAGGCCACATCACAGCCAGAGACCGTGACTGATAAGACAGTCTTAAAATAACAGATTAAATAAACACACTTCTCGAGGAGAAGATTTTCCTTTCCAAGTGCAAACTGATGCTTCTTAGACTACTGCATAAAAATGGTCTAGGAATTTTCATGATTTAGTTCAAAAGTTGTACTTAATTATACAGATTTGATGCTGAAACTACTTTCGAACACTAAGCAACGCAAGCTAAAAAGAAATTGACACATAATTTCTCATTTAGTTTCTATCTATTTTGATTGTGCAGGTGCTCTTCCTATCCATGTAGTGGGTCCTTGGCTTCTATAGTTGCACATTTCAGAAGGTGTACAACACTTCAATATAGTACAATTCAGTGATTTCAGTGAGCACGAGAGGATGATTATCTACTCAATACTCACAGTTATGTACTACTTCAGTAGTTAGAATCATCCATGGAAGCAGCTTTATGTGTTCAATGGAGCCCAAAAGGTTAGTTAATTCCCTTCCTATTTCCGTTACATCTGTACATTTTCTCACTGTATTGGTGAAATGAAGTGATTATCCAAGTGCAAATGCTCTCCTATTTTTCATTCCATATACAGTATGAGACCTGAGTTTGATATTTTTATTCTTAGCAGCTTCTGATCACCTGGATCCCTGATAGATGATAGCTGTGACCATACCTTAATTCTGTAATGCTAATATATTTTTGTCCTAACATGATATTTATGAACTCTATTCTATCTATACGTTTATTATCTTCAAACTGTATATGCACTTCCTAGAATTGTGCATCATCTCTTTCTGGAGGTATTTGAATGTGATGGTTATTGAGATGCGACTGCCTTGCTACTAAATCCTTGAAATTGTGCATCATCTCTTTTTGGAGGTATTTGAATTTGATGGTTCAAGTGGCTCGGTTAAGTTATACATGATTAAGAGGGGTTGTCAGTTCCATTGGAATAGGTGTAAGGCATTCAAATGACAAAATCTAGGCAGAATCCTAACATGATACTTCTTCCTTTTTGTTTCATTCTCCCTGATTTTCAATTAATTTGTCCTTTCTGAAGATGATTTCATCTTCCTGATAAATGAATTCCACCTATTAAATTTAACTCGCGCTGGTAATTCATATGCATTATGTTCCTAGCATATTCAGGTTAGAAAAAAAAGGATTGTACCTGCTTTTTGATCCAGCACTAAATGCACAGTCATGACACTATTTTTTGAAAGTGCTTCACATAAACAATTAGTACTAATTCTAATCTTTCGTATGTTCTACATAGTCACTGATAAGTGAATCCAAATTTGTTATGCGAGGGTTGAGTCTAGCAAAATTTCTCTAAATATCCCTTATTTCTTTCATCCCATTCTATTTGTCTAGGTAGTATTTGTAGGTTCATAGGTGTATTCTAAATTTGGTTTACACTCTTACAAACATGTCTTCTTGATTCGTAGGCAAAGATTACACAACTCTTCACTTGCTCTAGCGTCTCATACATCTAATTTGACCCCTTCAGTGTTCTACTACACTTTTTAAAGTAAGTTGCGCCAAGTTCCAGAACAAAAAATGTAAGTCCACTTTTAGCCCACCTCACATAATTTATGGGGTTACAATTTGCTTCTATTAGTCACAGTATTTGCTTGATAAAAAAAACCTTCCCCATATCCACAGGATTTGCTTGATAAAAAAAACTTTCCCCATACAAGCAAAAAAAAAGAAATTGAAAGAAAGAGGATCCGTCACTTTTTAGTTTTATTTTTTGTTTTTAAATTTCCTGGTGAAGTATCTATGTTTTTATTATAAAAATAAGATAAATAATAAAAACAATATTACTCATCTTTTATACGTTGACCCTTATTTCTAATTCTTATTTTTCTTTTAATTTTCTTCAATGTGCGAATTTTTTAATTCCATGGCATAGTTTCAGTTGCGGTTTTCCTCCACCTTTGTAGTGACTTCAATGAAACCGATAGAGGATTTATTATTTTCTTTTAGAAACGATAGAGGATTTAGGTGAGGGAGAGAAGGGCCAACACGAAGATAGGGATGTGTTCTGTACGCACGAAGGACTCTCAAAGGGCCACAGAAGCTCCCGTTGCAACGCACGGAAAGGTCTATAGAATAGAGATGGTGAGCTTGCGACGCCGTACTCTCTGTGACTGTGTTAATTTCATGAACTTTGCTTTTTAATTAAATGTCACTTTAACGGCGACATTTAATTTTACAGTATTGTTATCTTATCGTGCGATCCATGTGTTTTTAAGTATAAAAGTTTAGTTATTCTGTAGCAACGCATGGACATGCTACCTATAAATCATATAAAGCAAAATATGATCTCATTTTGGTGGTTTGATTTGCAACACGATCTTTTCAAAGTGGGAATATGCACGATCTTTTCAAAGGAGGCGTCTGATTTTCAAAGTGAGGTTCTTTTGAGGTAATTCATTGATTTAATTTATTGACTACAACACTGACCCAAAAGTTTTTTATTTGTTTATAGGCATACGCAATCGTCTGCTTGTTGATGAAGCCAGATGTCACCGAGTTCAAAAATTTGCTAAGGACACCGTGTCGCGTCTCATAGATTTAGAGAACTAAATAATATTGAAATTATTTACACGCTTGTGACATGCACTTTGAATAAATGATGGACATGAATTTAATTTAATATAATAGTTATTTTGTGCATTTTCATTGGTCAAACAGGTTCAAAATATGTGGATTGAGCAATGTTTATCTGACATATTTGATTGCTTCATTTAGTTTGTAATATCGAAGACTTTTTACCAATATAAAATATTATTTTAGCCGTATCACGGAAAGATCTATATAGCAGAGTTTGTGAGCCTGCGGTGCCGTGTTCTTAGTGACTGTTAATTTTACAAACTTTGCTTTTTGGATTAAATGTCAGTTTAATGTCTTACATTATTGTTATCTTATCATGCAATCCGTGTGTTTTTAGTACAAAAGTTTAGTCGTCCCGTAGCAACGTACGAACACGCTACCTAGTACAGGATAAAAATAAAAAATATTGCAGACTTATCTTAGCAAAAAAAAAAAAAAAAAAAACTGGAGGCAGATACCATCTCATTTTCTTACCAATACAATGAGCATACACGACCCATAAGCGACCTTTTCGCAAAAGTTGTGCATCAAACAAAGCCTAAGCAGTCTTTTAAATGGTCTGATGTAGCAGTGACCTTGTCTGATGCAATGCAGTGATGTGGTAAGCAGTGATGCACTGCAGCCTTCATTAGGATCTATTGTTTCAGAGGATCTGACCTAGCAATAGTAAATACCAAATTATCTATCAATAATACAAACTAGATGAGAAATTCTCGGAACTCATCACTAATCAACCTAACCAAGCTCTCCCTAGGAGAGAAAAGAGCCTGTGCTCACACTGTTTATTTACATATACATTGCAAAAAGAAAGGGAAAGAAAAGAACGAATGGGAATGATCTACCGCTACTCCTGCTCTGCTGCACAACCGTTCTACGACTTGAGGACTGCTCCTTCGGTGATCCTCCACCCTCCGGACTTCGAGTAGGTCATCTCGTACCGAGCAGTGTACTTCGTGTCATAGGCGTCGTTATTCTTAGGGTCTGCTACGTCGGTAAGTTGGCCCACCTCCTCGATCGTCGCCTCCACGGTTGCCCGTTGACCGTCCATGGAGACGGTGATGCTGTCGATTGTCACATCGGAGAGTGTGTATTCCCAGAACCAACCGTGACGCTCAATCTCTGCCGCTCGGTCCGTCCATACCTTTAGCATGTTGCCATCGAGGATCTGTTGGAGGATGAATTGGAAACAATATCATCGGCACTCGCAAAGAACTATACAGTGGCACTGGATTAATACAAGGACAGGTTAAATAAGAAGGCTTCACCATTTGAATGTTCAAAGCCAAAATAGCAAAGTGGTTGCTGCATTTATCTCATATTCTCGTATGACTAGAATTCTTGAATGTAATAGCATAACTTCTAAGACTACATCCAATGTGTCTCTAGCAACATATGTAAGGGATTGTTTGGGACAAACCAACAAATTACTAGCTAGCTATGAAGATCAAATTTTTGGACCTCACCTCCTGCAATGCCGTGACAGTGTGTTCTGGCCCCAAAGCCTTGGACTTGATACTTTGCCACTTGCGAACAATATCTTCAGCCAACTTTGCATCCATTCTAGGAATGTCTAGTGGCTCTTCATCTGCTGCTGGACCTTCAACAAACAATGATGGAAGGATTAATTTTCCTGCCAGACGTTTAGACAGTTAATAAATAATATAGTTTCTATAAGCCTTTGATGCATGCGCTTCTATGTACATAACATATAGAAATACAAAGTATTATGGTCCTGGACACAATTTATGTGGAATATTTGGTACGCAGCTTCTTTACCAGAAACATCAACCAAAACCCAGTGACTTGAAGAAAGTAATGCTATTTGATACTACAAGTTTACTCACCATCAACGGAGTCAGCAACTGCCACAGTCGCATACTCGCTCCTAAGAGCAGGAAGTGACTTCTTACGAGGCAAGCATTTCAGACCTATTACTGCAAATAGTGCAAACAGTGCACCAGCAGAGATAATCTTCAAAGCGGCATTTCTGGAATCATGGATAGCGTCTCCAGCAACACTTTCTTGGGCAAGTTTTTCAAGAGATTTCTCAAGATCATCACTTGGGGTATCCTTGCCTGATCTGTCTAGCCGCTCTATCAATGGGAAAACCTTGCTGAAAGCTTGAAGAGCACTTGATTTTACCGTACCAAGCGCAGCAGTAGCTTGAGCACCAAGTTTTGCTATAGCAGCAGCTGCGGCCAAATGAGAAGCCCCACCACCTTCCATCCTTTCTAAGTAGCTTAAAACTTTTGGGTCGTCATAATAGTCTCCCAGTCTGAACTGCATCCCTCGAGTATCTCTGCTCCTTGGGAAAACCTCGGAGAGAAGCCAAGTCTCCAAAAGCTTGCAAAGCCCTGGAAGAAGATCATTCTCTTCATTGATGCTAGAGTTATTCACCACAAACTCAATAATTTTGGGGTCCCTATATGGCGAGGGCTCATTATCAATTCCAAGCCACATTCTGCAATTGCTGATATCTCCCACCAGTAAGGAGCAGAGTGCCCGTTCTAATGCAAGGTTCATCTCATTTTCATAAGGATATTGAGAACCTATATTGAACTTCTGAAGTTGTTCGAAGAGGTCATCTGCCATCATAATGAATTGTGGCCTTTTACTTGCAATTGCTTGAGCAATATGGGCAAGTGCCACACTATAGATTTCAAACCATTCAGGTGGTATGCTATTCGGTGTTTTAGAGAAGAAATCCATCTGAGATATATAACATAAAATGAGCGAGGACTTCTAAACATTGTGTTCAAGTAAAATGGACAGACTACAGCATGCTGCTGCTCATTAAACTTGATAGACACAAACCTGCTCGGCTGATGTCATCTGCAAAAAAGCCTCATTCATGAAGGCCTCACGAGAAAATCCTCCTCCAACAGTAGCAATACCACCTCGGCCAACACTCCACAATATGTTTCTTGCACCTTGCAGACCTTCTTGGCGTTTATTTTATGTTTTTCATCAGTAGGAAGAGCAAGAAGCTCCAATACACAGCGAGGTGTAATCTCCTCCAAAGTTTCATCAATCTGTTCAAGCAGTTCAGGTGCAAGATTGCTTGCACCATCCTCCTAAAGTAAAATATCTCCGTTAGTATTGCTTCCCATGATATCTCTCTAATCAAGAAAGAACCTACAAACTGATCTTCACACACTGATCTAATAACAAGTGAAAAGAAACTGATAGCTAAGAATGCAGCAGTGGCTAATAGCTTGATGCCAGATTAGTTTTACAGTGTAATGGGATAATGGCTGTGCCATGATGTAGCTAATGGTTTCAAGCTTTTGAAAACTGACATTGATGCAAGGCCTATAGGAGTATAGGCTCTAAAGTACAGTAAGACGTACTGTTGCAACTGATGCTTAACCCCAAAAGGGACTTTGTTTACCAAAGAAAACAAGTGGTAATCAGTATCAACAGCAAGCAGTTAGATAAAACCTGGAGCACACTGATCTACAACATATGGTATATACAGTGGTAACAGAAGACATATTTCGTCCCTAACAGTGAACATGTCACATTGAGATTAATAGACAACTGTGTGTACGCAGCCACCTTAAGACATATTGGATCTGCAACCTTAAAACAAATCAGTTCACCTGCAGGAGCTTGAGCGCCCTCTCGAGCACCTCACAACAGCAGATTACATCTGGAGGGCTTGCTGCCATAGCATCCCTTGATAGGTCCACATAAGCCAATGCCATTGCTAGCACCACATCCTGCTTGAACCGCTTAGGTGGACGGTCCTGAAGCAACTGCTCTCCAGTTGCTAGCACCAGTTGTGCCTCCCCAGCCTCCTGAAGCACACATAGCACACCTGGAACCTGCTTGGCAAGTTACCGAAGAGAGGCAGCAACCAGTTACATGCCAGCGTTTTAAAATTCTAGAGCAAACAGAGAGCATTGTTTGCACGTTTGCTGTCCTATAGCCTCACCTTATCCCAGGCAACATCCATGGTGAGTGCCGCATCACGGTCCTCGGAAAGCGCACGATCGTACTCGGTACGGGAACTCTGGTTTGTGAGAGTATCATGGGCAATCTGCAGCATTTGGCGACGCCCAATGAGAGCTTCTGTGCTGTAGCCGTACTGAGGTGGCTTGGCTATCCACGACTCGAACGCCCTCCGAATGCCATCGCATAGGAAATGTGGCTCCGCGCCAAGAATCTGAGCATAGCGACGCCAGCAGATTATTTGCACAAAATCAAACATGCAGGTTGCAGGTTATGTTTATTCCGTCCATTGGAAGACAACAACACAACTCTCTACAGAAGACTGTCTATTCTGTATTAAATAGGGTGCAATGTAGGTTGCCAGATAGGATGGATTTGAAACCCAAATAACTAAGGGCCCGTTTGGTAGAGCTCCGGCTCCGGTCAAAACAGCTTCGGTCGTGGATTCACCTGTTGAGCAGATTCACTGGAGGAGCTGAAGCACTTTTTGTGAACCGTTTTGTTAAACAACTTCTCCTGACAGATAAAAGGATGAAATGACGATGATACCCTTTTCTTTTTTTCTTTTCTATTTCCCTTTATTTTATTTTGCTCTCTCTTTCCTTTATTTTATTTTCCCCTCCCTTATCTCTTACTATTTCTCTCTCCTCATCCCAACCACGCGTCGCTGGTTCTCTTCCATCGCTGTTCGTTGACCAAAAGCCGCAAGCTTTGCGGCCTCAGGCATCGTCTCGGCCACAGGTCGTGGCCGCACCTCCGCACCGCCCTTGCCGGCCCTCTCCGGCGCCTCCGCGCATGCGCCGGCAGCGGCGGCCATGTCCCCGCGCGACCCCTGGCGGCCGTCTTCTCCACGCCCGTCTCCTCCGCGATCGGCGACCGCGGCCGTCTTCTCCGCGCCCGGTGGCCGTCTTCATCCGCGCCCGTCGTCTTCAGGTGCGCCCATGCCTACACCCAGGGCCCACACATCTGGTAGGAGCCAGGCGAAGCTCGATTTTTTGGCTCCAACCGACGGCGCTGGCATGTGAGAGCGCGAAATACGGAGATCCTCCGTCGGAGCTGGTCCGTTTCTGGCCGTTTGGCAGAGGGAGCCGAAAAACTGCTCCAGGAGCTGCCTCAGAATCCATACCAAACGGCCCCTAACATTGATACTAGTCCACCTCCACCAGACATACAGAAAGCAGTGAAGAATGCAATTTTTCATGAGACTCGTGTGCTCGAAAGCCTAGCAAGAAACCTTGAAAACGGAATAACGAAACCAAGTTCTAAGGTTCAGCTTATCTAGAAGACTAGAACTTTGGAACACGGTATCATACCCGGCTAAAAAGCTTATAACCTAGAAACGAACCTGGACACGGAATAATCAAGCCGCGGATGCTGAAATGCAGCGTTTCTACAGAGCAGTACTAACAAGGCTCCTCCATTTTGTCCCCACTATCAAAGTATCAATCGAACGATTACCCACGAGTGGACTCACGGCCTGACCTTGTAGAAGTCGACCGGGAGAGGCAAGGCGCGGTCGGCGGCGTCGGGGAAGAGCGGGACGAACGGGGACGAGGAGGGGGCCGCGGCCGGCGGGTCGGCGGCGGCGGTGGCGGCGGGGAGGAGGTGGAAGTCGGCGAAGAGGCGGTCGGCCCAGCGGCTGGCGGCGCGGCAGGCGGAGGGGCCAGGCGGTGGTGGCCTGTGGCGCCTGCGGTGGGGCGGCTGGGAGAAGGCGAGCGGCGCGGAGTTGGGCCGGGCCAGGAGACTGTGGACGCCCTCCATTGCCGGCGGAGGCGGCGAGATTGCGAGCGATGGGTGAGATTATGCACAGGACCTGCCACACTCGTACTAGGTCGTGTCAAGTGTTAGTGTAAACTCCCCCCAGTCCCATAAACTGACAAATATTTTTATCTTATAACCAAGTATATATAAGAGTATATATTAATATTTAATATTTATGCTACATAATTGATATCACAGGATGATAAATCGTTGAATATGTTTTAATTTTCATAACAAATTTACTTGGAGATACAAATATTGTTGTATTCTTTATAAACCTAGTCAAACTGAAATAAGTCTGACAAGTACAAATCCTATAGCGACACTGTCGGTGCAGATTGCCGTACGTTATGATCGGATGTGGCCTAGCACTCAATAATACAGGGTTTATACTAGTTCAGGCCACGTGCCCTACGTTCAGTTTGAGTTTATGCTGGAGCACGCCCGGGTTGCCGAGCTTGAGCGCGAGCTGGAGTCCACCCGCCGCGAGTCCCAAGATCGGGCGGCGGAGGTGTCCGAGGCGCGGGCGGCGGAGCTGCTCGAGGCGGAGCGGGCGATCGCCGCCGAGCGGGGGCTTGACGCGACGAAGGCCCGCTAGGCGGAGACCGAGGCGGCGCTGTAGAAGTCCCTGGCGGACACCGAGGCAGCGCTTCAGAGTTCCCTGGAGACCCTGGAGTCGGAGCGGAAGGCCCGGCCGGAGGGCGACCGGGAAGTGCTTGCGCTCCAGAGCCGGGTGATGGGGACGGAGGAGGCGAACGTCCAGCTGTGAGAGCAACTGACTCGACAGGAGGCGGGACTCTCCATCCTCGAGAACACCCGCCTCGGTATGTACCTTTTCTGCTTTCGATGTATTGGTTTCTTCCTTTAGCTTATTTCTGAGCTTGTCGTCCTTCTTCCAGAGTTGGGCGGGAAGATGGAGTCGTTGGAGCGGGACCTGGAGACGACCAAGGCGACGATTGGTCAGAATACGGAGGCGCTGGCCAAGTCCCTTGAAGAGAGACATGCTCTCGAGGGGGAACTTGACCAGATACGCAATGTTGCCTAGCTCTTCATCTCGGAAGTCTTCGGGTCGACGCCAGGTACCAGTACGCCCGCCATCCGGCTGGCGGAGGTTCCGGATGAGGTTCGGGCCCTCATCGCCGATGGGATGTTCTATGGAACGTCGGGGATGCTGACCTCGGTGACGACGCACCATCCAGACCTGGACTTCGCCGCCATCTGCAGCGGGTACGCCGACGGCTGGAGCGCGGAGGACATCCACTCGCTCGGGGAGAGCTTGCTGCCACACGCACAGTTGGTGGCCGAGCAAGTCTCTGCGCAGTGGGTGATGGATGCTCAGCGTGCAAACGCGGCCAAAGGCGCGCGCCAGAGGACGTCGCCCAGCTAACCGAAACAAGTGCGGAATTAAAACTATCGGTCTAGCCAAGACTACACCCCTCTATCTATGTTATTTAGCACCTTTCAAATATATTAATTAAGCAATTAAGGTGCCGAGCTAGCTAGAGCTCACCTAAGCAATTTTAGGAGCAAGGTCACACAAACCTATGCCACTAGTACTTTAAGCGACAAGGAAGCTCCTACACATGCTAGTAAGCAAAAGCACAAAGCCACCTAAGCTCACTAGCAATGCTCAATAACAAGGCAACCAATGCCAAATTAGAGAACGCAAATACTTAGCTACACAAACTAAGCAATGTGACTAACAAGGTTACTCAAACCAAATTAGCCACGCAAGAGAGCTACTTCTATGCTACACAAGCAAGAAGATAACTAATATGCTACACAAGCAAACTAATTACAAGAGCAACTACACAAGCTTAATATATATGAAAGTAAATGCAAGTTTGTGTAATGGAGAAGCAAACCAACAGGAAGAACAAAGTTGACACGATGATTTTTCTCCCGAGGTTCACGTGTTTGCCAACACGCTAGTCCCTGTTGTGTCGACCGCTCACTTGGTGGTTCGGCGGCTAATTAGCATCACCCGCTAAGCCCGCACGTCGGACGCCGCAAGAACCTACCTCTTGAGTGAGGGTAGCTCAATGACACGCTTTACTAAAGTTGCTCTTCGTGGCTCCCGTGGGGCGAGCAGAATGCCCCTCACAAAGCTCTTCTCCGGAGCCCCGCACAAGCTTCTTGCGGGCTTCGACGGAGACCACCACCAAGCCGTCTAGGAGATGGCAACCTCCAAGAGTAACAAGCACCACCGGCTTGCAACTCGATCACCTAGTGCCACTCGATGCAACCTCACGATGCAATCGCACTAGAATCACTCACTCACACAATCGAATGATCACTATCAAGTGTATGTGTGATGGAGGGCTCCCAAGCACTCACAAGCATGGACACTAAGTCCCCTCAGGTGCTCGACGCTCGCCATGGCCGAGAGCCACTTCTATTTATAGCCCCATGAGCTAAACTAGCCGTTATCCCTTCATTGGGCAAAAGTCGGGCCGACCGGACGCTCCGGTCATGTTGACCAGACGCTGGACCTTAGCGTCCGGTCGCCCGCAGATGGCCACGTGTCCCGATTCCAACGGTCACTTCACTTGATTGGACGCAGCAGCTTCAACTGACCGGACGCAGCAGCCCCAGCGTCCGGTCGTTTCCAGTAAGGTACCGGACATGACCGGACGCGTTCGGTCGATCACGATCGGACGCAGCACCAGCGTCCGGTCACTTCCAGCTTCTCTGCTCTGCCTGCGTCACCATACGTCAGCTCTGACCGGACGTAGGACCCCAGCGTCCGGTCACTATGTGACCAGCGTCCGGTCCACTCTGTGAGACCCTATCTTTTCTGTATAGGGCGCCGGTGGCACCATCGGACTGTTCGCACTCTACGGACGGACACTCCACTGGTGGAGTTTCTCCTTTCGCCTCCATTTCTTCACCAAGTTGATCCACATCAACTCAAACTTCATCTCCTTTGTAAATGTGCCAACCCCACCAAGTGTACACCACCATGTGTATGTGTGTTAGCATTTTCACAATCATTTTCCAAAGGATTAGCCACTCAACTTGCCACGCCACTCGATCATAGCAACGATGCAAAGTTAGATCACTCGAGTGGCACTAGATGACCGATATGTAAACAAGTTTGCCCCTCTTGGTAGTACGGCCATCTATCCTAAATCCAGTCATAAACTTCTCTACACACATATGACCGGTGAAATGAAATGTGTAACAGAACCGACCAATTATATGAAATTAAGTAAGAAAATCATCCGCCAGAGCAGACGATTTAGCAAACTTAAGCCCGTATAACCCGGTAGTCCATGAAATCACGAAGGATTTCAAACCAACTCACATACCAGCCAAGATCGTAATAAGTTTAGCGGTCACCATCACATATTACATAAAATTTCGCATCTCAGATACATCAGAGTTTAAACATAGTTATTACAAAACGAGTTCAAATAGAAGTAGCGGCAGCCATTTGTTTAAAACCACACACACTCACACGGAGTTCAAATACAGTGCCAGCTAATGATCATCTCCAACAAAAGCATCAGACGAGACGTAAGGAATGACCATGCCCATGGTCCTAAGCATCACCCATCGCAGGATAAAGGCAGTTGATACAGTAGCCGTAATACATCTGCCTATCTGCAACAAGTGGGAATAAAACCCTGAGTACGAGAAGGTACTCAGCTAGACTTACCCGACAACCGAAAATAAAGTGACACCAAGGATTATGAAGGGCTTTATAGTAGGGTAGCTGACTCATTTGCAAAAAGCGGCATTTTTAGTATTTCAAGAACTTTTCCAAAAGCATTATTGTCAAGTTAATTATTATTAACCTATCGACTACATTTGCACCTATACTAGAGCAAACATGTGATTAAAGAAATAATGATAACCAATGATCATTAACAACTTTCATAATGTCATATTCATTATAACTGTCCAAGTGTTCCATCAATATTACTACGATGAAGTCACTCAAGTCAAGTGCTCAATATCCAGGAGCGATGGCGATTCGAATCGATTCCTAATCAGCTGGTGATTTATTCCTTACACAAACCACACTCACCCGCTAAAGTGAGGTATCGGTCACCGAGTCAACTATCCAGGAATCTCGAGTTTGCCTAGAACCACATGTACCCGGGGGCCGACCGACTGCTCTTTGGTCTTATCTTCGCGCCCCCGTGTCCTACCACACCTGCTCTGGCACAGTGCGTTGCGGGCAATCTACTCGGCCCGAATAATCTCCCAGCTTCGCGGTCGAAAGGTACTTTATTCGGCCAGCTAAATGTAAGGCATGCGTTCAACATGACCTGAGGCCCAACAACGGTCGGTCCTTAATCGACACAGACGGAAAGCACTACAGTCTAAAACTCTGTAAGTCTCCGTCCGGTCTCAACTTCATTTAACACTTAGTTATACCATGACTACATAGTTCTCCAAGCAGATCCAAGTAACCACATATAGCTCACAGGTGACAGGAAATCACCCGACTTCTACTGGTCTAAGCCAGCTAAACATTGACTCGACTGTGGATACCAGGGTAACAAGGATATAGTATAACAAAGGTAGACAAAGTATAATACAGCAACGGTTGCAAACAACTCCTGAACGTAATGCATCAATTAAAGTAAAGCATTTAATTAATAATTGCAAACCGGGGAGAAAAATGCTCCGGGGCTTGCCTCTCTCGAAGGAGCTCGGGCGGTGATCGGGGCACTCCGGAAGTTCCTCAACGTCCTCCTCGTCTACTTCGGTCACTTCCTGCGGCTGCACCTCGAGCTATTCCTCGGGCTCCTGGGGTATGATGACTGGGCTCTTGGTTTGCGATCCTGTATGATGTAGGTGCGTAAGTGCTTATGCAAAAGTGCATCGGATGAAATGAACACAATGGATATGCTTGAATGCAAGGTAGTCAACATCATCTAAGAACATATACTACAAGCACATGTCATCTACTGTATTCTCTTCTACTACTAATATGCTGAGTCAACATATCTCATTAAATGCTTCAAAGATACACTAAAGCTTCACTA